TGTTATCTTCAATTCCATACTGCTGTTATTGAACTCAAATTTCACCACAGCGGGATTTGAACTCACATCCCCAGACATTAGGCTGCAGCTCTGGTTTACTAGTCCACTGGCATCACCACTGTGCCAACATCTGCCAATGTACACTCCCTCCATCCTGTGGTCCCAATGTACCAGGTTCCATGTAACATGACCTCATAATTTAACCCCTCAGCCCCAGTATCATTCAGCGACTGTGCTGCACACCTTGCAAGGTCAATAAATCATTTTTGAGGCAAGTTGTTACACTAAACACAGAATTCCAGGGGGGTCTGATCAAAGATCCACAAACAATTTTCCATTCATTAAATTGGTGGATGGGATACTGTGCAAGACTCATGGAATTGCTGCAAATAATTATCCACTCAGATTCCCTGTGTAGATGTTTGCATAAGGTCTCTGGGCGTGTTGATAAGTGAGCCATTCAAAACTTGAAGGGGTACTGGACGTCATAGAGTTATGGAGTATTACAGCAATGGAAAGAGTCTCACTGGTCAGAAAACACCTATCTACTCTAATCCCATTCCCCAGAACTTGGCCCATAACCTTGTATGCTATGGCACTTCATGTGACTGACTGAATACTTCTTAAATGTTATAATGGTTCCTGACTCTGCCATGCTTTCAGGCAATGAGTTCCAGATAACCCACCAGCCTCTGGATGAAAATAATTCTCCTTAAAACGCCTCTAAATCTCCTGCTTCTAACCTTAACTCTATGCTCCGTACTAACTGGGGCACGATCAGGGTGAATAGAAAGCAGCTGCTCCCCCTACTCAATAACAAGGGGCATAATTTTATGGCGAAAGGTAATAAGTTTAGAAGGAATCTGAACTTATTTCACCCAGAGGGTGTTGGGGTACTGCCCGGGAGGGCGGCTGAGATGGGTAACTTCACAAAATCTTAAAAAGTACTTGGATGAGCGCTTGAGATGTCACAAAATTAAAGGCTATGGGCCTAGCAGTGGAAGGTGGAAGGAATGTAGATGAAGTGAAGCTTTGGCAGTACAGACTTCATGGGTCGAAGGGCCTCTTCTGTACTGTATGATCATATAACTGACTCCTCCAAGGGCAAAAGTTCATTCCTATTGACTCTTATGTCCCTCATAATTTTGTACATCTCAGTCAGGTTTCCCATGCACCTTTCTCTGCCTCAAGGAAAATAGGATATGGAGGTGCTGATGTTGGATAGGAGTGGACACTTCATCTGACGAAGCAGCAGCATTCCAAAAGCTTGTGATTTTAAATAAACCTGTTGGACTATACCCTGGAGTCGTGTGACTTCTGATTTTTCAAGGAAAATACCCAGCCTATCCAGTTTCCCTTCGTAGATGAACCACTCCAGTTCCGTTTTAAAGGCAGGTCGATGTTTGTAGGAGTACCCTTTGTATGTCAATATTTAGTCAAGGTATGAATCAACACTTGAAGGATGTCCCTGGGGAAGTGTCAACGTTTACAGAAGGTCCCTGGTAAAATCACAACTTCTGCAGGAGGTCTCTGAGCATATGTGCATATTTTCTGTAGGCCTCCAAAAATATACCAATAATTTCAAGTGGTCCCCGTGTGACAGCATGTTTAAAAATATTTTGAATCAAGCTAAACATTTGGTGAGATTAATGTACATTTGCAAGGAAGCATAATGGCGAGAGACATTATTTCTAGTCACTGATGTAGAGGCTACATTTTATTGGAGAGTCTATAACTGCTACAAATTTTGTAAAAAAAAATTATCAATTTACCACAGATGTTTATGCTGATAAACAAAGACAGAAACAACAACATTTTGTAAAAAAAAGTTTAAGATTTATGTTCACTTCAGAATTCAATTACCCTGAATAAAATAATCCCTTTACATGTGATAAAAAAACAGCTTGCTTTAGAAAAACAATTAAAACCAGTCCTTTTTATCAAGCCACTTCACTTTTTTTGCGCACTGCTTATTGTAGTTTTGTGCTTGAGCAAAGGAGACCAGTGTAAGCAGGCATAAGATCAGGCCATAAACTCCAAACCACAGGAATCTTTTAAGTTCTAAATGCATGTAATTGCCAGCAATGTGACAGCATTAAGGGCGAGCCTAGATTTAAGGTGCAAAAAGCAGTAAAATTCAATTCCTCCTGTGTTATATACATATGCACATTCAAAGAATATAAAAAAAATTTACACATTGTCAAAGCAGTTCACATTTTTTTTTGTCCCCTGCTGCAGGCGGGTTTGATAGGCACGTGGAGATTGTGGTTGTATCGTATTGGTCCTGTCTCAAGTGCTCAGATGTGCATTCAAGGCTGAGCCTTGCCTCAGCCTCTTGCTGTCATTGGACTAACAGCGAAGTGCAACAGGAAAACAGAGAAAATCGTTCAACATAATGTCCTGAGTTAAAATTCATGAACTGGAGATGGCAGTTGAGGCAAAGGCAACTAAGTGATTTCCAGTTCTGCAGCACATTTTCTTTTAAGTTATATAGATATATATATATATATTTTATCAAATAGGCCTGTGAGGTCCATGTATGGTACAGTGCAGCTTAGCCCAATAAAGGCATCACCGGAACAAGGAGATATTACACCCAAGGAAATGGAGGATTCATCAGTTCTTGCCTCGGGTTAAGTCCGATGTCTTCACGATGACAGTCGCTCGGTTTTCAGCCGCACGGTGTTTTAAAGAGGCTTGCTGCGATGGCACAGGCGACGTGGAGATGCTGACTGACAGGCTGGAGCATGTGGCAAAGGTGTAAATGGGTGCTTTCTCAGAGCCATTGGTCAGGGGTTTGAAACTGAAGTTGCTGGAGGTCACAGTGGGACCTGCAGGTGGGGAAAACGCAGTGTTCATGCCGATGTTGCTCAGAAACTCCTTGCCTTCGATGTTGCTCTGCTGCCACTGTGATTGGTCTTGGTTTGTGCTCTCAGTCACCTAGGCATACAAACAAGGAAGAAATGAGATTTCCTCACAACGATGACAAAGTTCTTCCTGCAGACATTCAAAACAAGAGGATGTAACTGTTAGAGAAAGACTGAAACGGGGGGTCGTTTTTCCTTGGGAAGTGAAAGGCCGACAAGAGGTATTTAACATTATTGATAAAGAGGATGTGCAGAAGGTTGGACAGTTGGCAAAATTAGGGGTCACAGTTATAAGACAGTCAGCCATAAGCCCAGCAAGGAATTCAGCAGTAATTTCTTTCGTGGTTAGAATATGAGACTTGTTACAGCATGGATTTGGAAATTCTCAGACATGTTTAAGTGGAAGATGGACGTGGACTTCAATGAGAAATCAGTAGAAGACACGTTGAGACAAACATACAAATTAGGGAAGGAAGAATAAACCATTTGGTCCCTAGATAATACCCTGCCACTCGACAAGTTTATGTTCTGTCCTGATTAATTAACATTCTCTTTTTCCCTTTGTTATATCATGGTGGAAGCACTGTTATTCTGAACTTCTTATTTCTTTATTTTTCTATTTTTTTTCCCCTCAGAATTTGTACTCAAGAATCTGTAGCTAGGAACCTACGTATCTGAGATGGCACTGTAAGTGGTGATTTACAAACTTTTCACTCTACTCGTGTGACAATAAAGTCAATTCAAATTCATTCCTGCCTACCCTCATAATCTTTCAGCTCCACCTTGCTTATCAAGAATGTATTTATATCAGCCTCAAAAATATTCCAAGGCTCTGGAATTATCGTCCTCAAAAGATGGTGGAAGCAAAGACTCATGACCCTCTCTGAGGTTAAACTGCTCCTCACCTCCGTCTTCAATGTGTGGCCCATGGGAGGGTGAGAGAAAGCAGAGCAGAGGAGGTTTGTGTATAAAACCTGCCTGATTGAGCCAAATGGCTTGCTTCTGTACTGTCAGGGATCAGGGAGATTCTGTCTAAATTCAATCTAGAAAGTAGAATTGCCTTAGTATCTGCTCAGACTCACAGGGGATTTCAGGAATCAGACAGGTCCACGATGCAGGCCTGTGAGGGAGCCTGAACAAACTGTGCATGATTTCAGTGGAAGTTGGGCAGGTTCCCTTACAGGTTCCTTCCCACAAACCAGACAATTTTTGGATGTTTTCTAGTCAACCTGCTCAGAGACATTATTACACAGCTCTGGCACTGGTGGGACTTGGACCTGAGCCTCCTGGCCCAGAGGTAGGCACAGCACCACTACACAAGAGACCCACTCAGGCCAATATTTTTGTATCTTCTGCAATCCATGGGAACATTTTTCCATTGGTAGGAGAGACTAGGACCCAAGGGCACAGCCTTAGAGTAAAGGGAAGACCTTTTAGAATGGAGATAAGGAGAAACTACTTCAGCCAGAGAGTGGTGAATCTACGGAACCCACTGTCACAGAAGGCTGTGGAGGCCAAGTCACTGAGTATATTCAAGACTGAAATAGATAGGTTCTTGATTATCAAGGAGACCAAGGGTTACGGGGAGAAAGCGGGAGAATGAGGTTAAGGAATTTATCAGCCATGATTGAATGGTGGAGCAGATTCGATGGGCGGAATGGCCTAATTTCTGCTCCCGTGTCTTACGGTCTTATTACATCTGAGCATATATCTAGCAAGAAGAAAAACTCCCCTCAAATTTTAAGTAGCGTTATTGATTTGACCATAGCTGGTATCAGTGAAAGACTACATTCCCTGATTAAGGCTCTGGTCAGACCACATTTGGAACATTGTGAGCAGTTTTGGGCCCCTTATCTAAGGAAGGATGTGCTGGTGTTGAAGGGGTCCACAGGAAGTTTATAAGGATGATTCTGGGGATGACGGGCCTGTCATATGAAGTGCGGCTGAGGACTCTGGGCCTGTACGCAATGGAGTTTAGAAGGATGCCGGGGGGGGGGGGGGGGGGTTCTCACTGAAACTTACAGAATACTGAGAAGCCTGGATAGAGTGGACGTGGAGAAGAAGTTTCCTCTAGTAAGAGAGACTAGGACCCAAGGGCTCAGAGTGAAGGGACAACCCTTTAGAACTGAGATAAGGAGGATTTTTTTCAGCCAGAGGGTGGTGAATCTGTGGAACTCATTGCCACAGCAGGCTGTGGAGCCTACGTCAGAGTGTATTTAAGACAGAGATCGATAGGGTCTTGATCGGTAAGGGGATTAAGAGTCATGGGCAGAGGCATCAGAATGGGGTTGAGAAATGTATCAGCCATGATCGAATGGCAAAGTAGACCTGATGGGCTGAATGGCTTAATTCTGCTCCTATATTTTATGGTCTAGTGATTTTAGCTGGGGAGCTGCATATGAAAGCAATATAGGCAAAAGAATTGGCACTTTACAATGTGGTACTGATACCCGGCCATCAGGACAGACATTATCATTAAAAGCTGGGACTCAAGTTTTCAGTTTTTCACTATGCATCAACTTCCTTTTTGTCTTGTCCCACAAGGTTCAAGTTTGACCTCTTATGAGGCACTGACCACCTGTTGAGGTAAAGTGGGTGTAGGTTTCAGCAGTAAAGAGAGACAGTTTAAATATAGCAATGTTGCCAAGATGGAAGAATACATGGAAAAGGTCTGTACCAGCTCAATCAATGCTTTCAAATAAATAAACTTTCTCTCTGTTCTTTGTTTTGGCTTCAAAACAATATGTTCCTTACTGACCTCATCAGGTTCTTCATCAGTTCCAACGCTATCCGTTTCACTTTCTACTGAATAAACAAAAGTGAAAATTAATTCAATTGCCTTTCAGGCTCATTTTGCAGACCTATTTCATTTTCATCAAAATGCCACTTAGCTCTTCACCCAACATCGCCTATGATCCATTATGCTCACAGTCACACCTTGTCTGTGCAAAAAATCTGCTTCTGTAAAACAAGCAGTACTCCCATCAAACTTGACAAACATACAAGATTCTGAATGGGACAATCTTGAACAGCATCAAAAGCTAAATGTGTAGCTGTTGCTATGAAGGAAGTTAACAAAACGACCACACATAGCAACACTCCTGACAATACCCACTAAATGGCACCACATGATTCTTGAACCATTTCCTACTGGAACGCTTCATTGAACAATTGATTTTGTTGAAGAATTCTGCCAAATATTCAATGGAGCCTCGCCAGCTGTGGGTTTGCAGGCAGGAACAACAAATACTGTATAAATGTCAAACGTTGTGTTGGAAGGTCACATGACTGCCAAATGGCAAATAAAAAGAAACAGTTTGCATTCCTTTTAATGAAATATTCTCCCAAGTCCTTCTCGTTTCTCTTCTTGAACAACTGCTTGCTTCCACTACTCAATCAAGCTACAAATAAGACAATAGAAACATAGGCCTCAGGTTTTTATGTAGCAGTACCAGGCATTTATTTACATAATAGTGCTAAAGATCTTGCTTTCTGTGTTGCAACGAATGTCAACATGCAATTGTCCTGCACTAGAATCGTAGCATTTAAGAATCCAAACACAGTGAGGAAAGAGGCGATTTGACCCTCTGAAGAGCATCCCAGCCCCCTATCCCACCCCCGTAACCCCACCTTTCCCATAGCTAATTTATCTAGTCTACAGGTTTCTGTATGCCAAGGGCAATTTAACATGACCAACCAACCTAAACCTCACATTTTTGGACTATGGGAGGAAACTGGAGCACCCAGCAGAAACCCTCTCTTTTAAATCCCAGTGAAAACAAACCTGTCTAACTTTCCCACAAAACACAACCAACCCATTCGGCACTAGGTATCAACCCAGTAAACCATGCCTGAAATCCTCCAACACAAGCTGTACACTGTATTCAAGATGTGGTCTTGCTAATTTTCTGTGGTGAGCCACTTGTTGAACAACTTTAATCCATTTGGGGTAAATTCACCCACAATGCCATTAGGGAGGGTATTCCAGGATTCCAACCCAATGACAAAATGAAGGAACACCAAACTTGCTGCACCCCTAGCCAAAAAGCAAGGGGCTGCGCATGTTTGAAATAAGAAACAAAAACAGAAATTGTTGGGAAAACTCAGCAAGTCTGGCAACACCTGTGGAGAGAAAGTAGAGTTAACGTTTTGGGTCCAGTGATCCATCTTCGGTACACCTAGCCAAGCTGTTCCAACCAGGCCACCCACCACTGTCGCAGTTTGCTCTTGATCAGCAGTAAAGTGATCGAAGATGTCATCAACAACGCTATCAAACAACACTTGCTCAGCAACAACATTCTCACTGTAACTAACCACTTGAATAGTGTTATGGACCATACCAAACCTCCTCAAAATATTCAGAAGATATTCTAGACCCTAACTTTTTCTTATTTTAATGCTAGGTGTAAGATGTTGCATTCCAGATGCAGTTTAACTGGTCAAACTATCAGATTTGAAGCAAAACATACATTGCTCATAAACTACAGTTAAAATACACAACAGTATAATAAAAGAAAAGAATTGGCTTAGCTGTTACTCTATCAAAATACTTAACAAAATAATTGCTACGATAACTATCACTAATTAACTGTTCCAATAAACATCCAATAACCAAGTAACATCCCATAAACATACCCTGGACAAAGGCAAATTCAGAAAAACAGATTGTCTCACATGCAACTCCAGCAGCAGGAGGAAAAATTATCAAGACAAAACTCTGAGAGTGTGGCAGGGAAAGATATACTGCAGCTTCTAAAGAGATAGTAGGAACTGCAGATGCTGGAGAATCTGAGATAACAAGGTGTAGAGCTGGATGAACACAGCAGGCCAAGCAGCATCAGAGGAGCAGGAAGGCTGACGTTTCGGGCCTAGACCCTTCTTCTGAAGAAGGAT